GCGTAGAACTCCACAACCGATCCGGGATTTACAGGGGAATAGGGTATTTTGCGTCAACTAATGAATGCGTTCAAATTTAATCTTGCTATTCAAGTGAAATACTGTTAATTCTTTCATTACATCCTTGTACCATAGTTAACCATCTTGGAAAGTGTGTCTTTCAATGCCAGGAACGTGTAGGATTTTGGATTTAGCTCAAAGCATCGGTGTTTCTTGAAGGGATCTCTACCTTCAATGATTTACTTTCTACACTACGGAGGGCGTAAACCAAATCCACTCATGCAGCGACTCATTCCCAGATTCACGCTTGAGCACGGTGACCTATTCATGGATCCATTTTGACGTGATTCACTTCCGCACTCGGCCGACCGAGTTCAATTATCACCGGGTTTGTTCATTCGCGTCTAAAGTTCACACGATAAACGATCGGTCAAGGACATCACGTACCATGATGAGGCGGTTGGTGGGGGGAAGACGAACAGTCGAACTGGAAACCAACGGAACTTTCATCCTAACACGCTAACCCATGCTATCAAACCCTACCTCGTGTTACGTGGTTTGTTTTAATCACCAAGGTCCTTATTCCGGTGAGGACCTACTGAAGTTTCTCGACTCTATAAACGTGATCATCAAACACAATCATCTAGAATGGTCTGCTCTGTAAACGAAACATCGACTGTATTTTGTGTGACTCTTTGACTGTTGATCACTTATAATATCAATAACACAGTGGATCAGAAAAAAATTATAATTTGCAAAGTAATCAACCGGACACACCAAGTGACGTTCGTGGCCACCAAATCATTTTCAATAATGAGTCAACAAGAGACGAGCAGATCGAGGCAGCGCACCTTATACATTTTTTGAAAGACATTCACTAATGAAGAGCGATGAGACAAGCCCGTCTTACGATGATCATTTTCCGTCTCCACTCGGTTGGTAGTTAGGTCACCTAAAGTCAACCTATTCCTCACTGCATACCCTGCTAACTGGTCTCGGTATGGTAACCAGATTCCATGTAGATAACCATCTGCTTCTGTGCTACGGCTTTCTTTGGAGCCTAGGAACCCACGAAACGATACTTCATCATCACAGTGCACCAAGTTCTGCATTCACTGAAAGATGCTCTGCTTTTCAAACGTTGGCACACCAGATAGATGGTTGCATTTTTTCTTCATATTTTTAACAAGATGGGATTTGATAAACGAAATCTTTGTTGGTTTTTCCCATAATAAAAATTTGAATTTGACAAAACATACACCAAAAGAAGAAAGACGTTCGGAAAACGCATTATATCGAGTCAAGCTGCGATCGAATACTATGGTCTTGCATTGTGCGAAGACTGGACACATAACTCTCATGGTTCCCACAGTGGATCTTTACCGCCCACCGCTCTCGTTCGGTAAGATAGCGTGAAAGCAACTTCTACCTAAATTCGGGCAGTCTTCAAGCATAGTGTACCAAAGCACGTAACCTCCAAAGTTTGGCTGGTGCAAGGCGTCCGTTAATAAAACATTAAAATACCTTTCAATGCAGTGCAGCATTGACACAAAATGTGTGACGAGTGAGGCCTCCATTAAGCCCTATCCTGATCTCTCCGTGATTCTCCGGTATATCACGAAAATTCCCCGCATTGTCTCGCGAATCAGACATGGACCTTCTTCGACATATGGATCTAACATCCGCCGTAATTATTGTTTTATTGAACATTTACTTGGAAAAATCCCTTAATTCGCGAGTACTCCTGAAAGTGTTTATCAGACTACACACTTGAATTCCTTGCTCCCCTGATATACGACGATTACTTGTATACAAATCCCGCTGATCCACATGGAAGTCATGGTTGTGCATCAGACAAAGTTTCATCACTTGGCACTCCTTTTCGTCCGCATGAATTCTTACGAATGCTTGGCAAGCAATATTTCACAGTTGTCTGAATATACCATTAATACTCATTGTGAGAAAACACAAAGTAGCGAACAAGCTCGTTTGCGGTGATTCTTCTACAGGCTAATACATCACAATTTATATCAAACAGTTTGGAAGGGGTGGAGAGATCAAGACAAATTGGAAATGAGATAATCAACATTCCAGTTCCATGACCGGATGTCACTCACACTTTGGTCCTCACGCACGTGCACAGTTTAAAATGGTTTAAAGACATTATAAACGAGAGACACAATCATCTGGTTGCAGTTGCACTCCGCCTTCGATGATGCACACAGTAATATTTGATTAAGTATTATGCGAAACGGTCCGACAGCATCAATTTCCCACCATACTTTCTCTCCCGTATCAGTTACTCGGCTGTTATTGATGCATAGACGTAGAAGGAAGTGCAGGTAACCCTTTTGAATTTATAGAAGTCCTCTAAGAAACCATCCAGCACTTCGTAGCAATTTTTATTAATTCTTTCAAAAACAACTGCCTCTTCAACGTGTGCCACGGTTGATATGGGCGTGCAAGTGACCGTCGACGTTCCGTTACAGTATTAATGCTTTCAGGACCAAGTCAAATAGGGGTAATTAAAACAAATTAAATTTTTACAATCGACAGAAATTCATTAACAATCAAAATCTATTCAAGTTCTGCTAAATCCAACCTTCCTTTTGTGAAATCAATTTAGGAATCGGTCGCTTTTTAGAAGATCTCACAGTTGGGATGTCACGCTACTACCTTAAACGCGATGACCTTGAACATCATGTGAATGTTTATCGTTGCCCAATCTGGAGTACGGTTATTCACCATCTGACCCCCGCTATCCGATTGATCGTGTAACTGAATTGTCAAATGGGTTAGGCCGGTTGCTTAACCACAAATTAGGCCGTTGTAGCAGAGCGATAATTTTCAGCTGATTGAACTGCGACATTGGGCTTAGCAGCTCGCAACGTGTGCAATGGTCAGGCTCTTCTGAACAACGCTATTTCGACGAATGTTTCAACAATGAGAATGACAGTGGTGGTTGACAGTATGAAAGAAACTGAAGCTGGAATCGTCTGTTTAATGCCTAATGTCGCATTAGACGAAAAGAACAACAAGCACTACGGTAATTGACAATAGTCGGTCGGTGGCAGGTCGCGGTACGATGAACGGTTCACCATGATTGGGCGTGCCTGTGGACATGACTCTTTGGCTGGACTGTTTTGTCTTACGTCCTGAATAAGTTGGTGCACGAATTGTCACTAAGTCCACCGTCTCGAATAAAACCAGCTGTATCGTTTCCATTGCAGATAATCAAGAACTGAAAAATACATTTAACCAAGAGGTAAACACTGGCTCCGAAACACAAGAGGGTGAAGAAAATGTGAAACGATTGAAAAATCACATTGTTTTCAATCCGACCTGTTCGACTAGTGTTCTATTTCAGTCGCCTGAGTTGTAACTCATGTATCGTACAGCAATTATATATGATGAGCCTCAACCCTGGCTCAAGCATTGATCGCGCAAGATAAATTGGTCTGACGGGTGTATGGTCAGATAGGGTTTTCAAGCAGAGAGGAATGAATACACACACAGACGCGTAAGCGTACTAGCAAAGTAACCACTCAATATGTGACACGGTAATTAGGGTTCGTGTGACCCATGGCACGTCTCACAACCATCACCCTGTCCCCCGGGGTTCAAAAGCAGGTTCAAATATCTATCCTGCCCGACGGTCATCCAGGCATCGCTGCGAGGCTTGGAAATTATATGAGCCTGGGAGGTTAGATGAGGGAAGGAGACTGCTCGAAATGATACTTAGACAACTTGAATCACAAAAACCGCAGTTTCTAAGCAGGGACAGAATGAAAACGTCAAGTTGGTTTCGAAACCTGCCGTACGTAGGACACGTTATTTTTATGCCTTCGCGGACACGCACAGCCGTGTATGTGCATATACGTGTACATTATTAAGTGTACTAATTTACACAGATGTCTCCAAGTTATCACCAAAGCTTCAGAAGATGTGGTCGTACACGGACAAAATACGTACCTTTGAGCAGAAACCATAGTCAGGTCAGAGTTGAACTGTGTAAAAAGTTTCTAGGCTTCTCTGAACGTCATCGAGCACCAGAAACCAATAAGCGCAGTACCACGCCCGAAAGTACAGTCATTTGACACAAAAATTTGATGGAACCATACTGACATTCATTAGTTTAGTAGTTATCTTTTGCCTCTGAGAATAAAAATTGGTAAAATGAATACATCTTGTTGATCACGTGATTTGAAATCGTATTCACGGACATTGGACATAGAACGGAACCAGATTGTGTAAGATTGAATGCACAGTAATGCTAATCGGATAGATCTTGTAACAACGGAAAAAATTTAAACGCCCCGGGTCAAATGGATAAACATAACAGAAATGCAGAGAAAGAGTCCAATGCTTGAAGCCCCGCAGGGAAGATGTGTCAGTCCTTCAAAAAAGATAAGTTAATTGAGAGAGGGTGTGCGGGGCCGGAAGGAAGTAAAAGTTAAAATCCACCAGTCAAGAGATAAATGTTCTTATAGATAGTTATGGGTCGGTCTTTGGATATGGAGTGGTCGATCAAATCAACAGAATAAACTTATAGCGTAGAACCACTGAATAAAATAATTGTAGAAATGCACAAAACAAAACCGGACCTGTTTGTTTGTTTGTGTGTGTGTGTGTATGTCTATATGTGTGCGTGCGACGTTCGTACATATTTATGTACGAGGAAGAACAATCCAGACCGACACCAACAAGAAGAGAGAATAAAATTGAATTGAATTGATAATATTACAGGATTTCACTTTTAAAGTACTAGCGTTCATTTTGGTCACATAGAATGAAGATATTTACCCCTCATTTCCAGTTTGAAGAATGGGTATTGGGAAGTGAGACAGTACAGATCAGGACCAGTATGCGTCCAGTTTCGTCGCTTGAGACTACTCAAAATGGTCATCAGTAGATTGCACATTCAAACTCATCGATGAAATAATACACGCACACATGCGCACAAACTGACACAGAGTTAATCATTTGTTCTCTGGTGAGCCTCAACGCAGCAACGATTCCATGGAACGACGACACACGCTACAGCGGCTCACGTGTTGCAATACTGCCGTCTCGGACTTGAATGCAGTACCGACAGGTTTGATAAATTGGTCCCTCGGTTGGATACTGGTCAACCAGTAGGATCGTCCATCTTGCCAATGGAAACAGTTTCCATCGTGGTTATTACATTCGATAAATGGAAGTGCTCGGAAGTGTTGCAAACAACTTCCAGGTGATTCCAAGGGTTGAATACCACCGCTAGAAGAAGGTCCAACCATCTGCATAAAAATAAAGTACACAAAAATAATGGTGTCGATTGTAATAATGGTGATAACCATGTATTATTTGGTTTCGGGAGCGACCAATGCAAAATTACCAATAAGACAAATTATAAAGAATTTCTATCTGTTCCCTTTCGCGTGTTAACAACATTCATACAGATATATCTTTATTCAATTTTCAGCCTCGCAATTTTAAATGCATAGCCTCCTACATTCGATGTTACTAATTTCATAGCTTTCTCCCCGGTACTCAGTCCAGTACTCGGCCCTCATTTGTAACCTGATGCATTGCTCAGAGGTATAAATTATTTCTCCCATATCATTTCTATCACACGGTCCTTTTAATGAATTGATCGGAAAACTACGTGTTCTCAATCCTAATCTAACTTCTTATGCCCTCTTGTTGTGCTAAGTTTGATATGCTCACTCACTGTTGTGTGTTGAGAGACATGCTCAGGGATTCCTGAAAAAAATAATGGTTGATTGTTCGAATGACCTAATAAAGATTACACCAGTGAACCTGGATGTTAATCCCAGTTTTGTTTATCACAATAAAAATAGCCTATGTAATCTTCCGCCTTACGTTCAGTTCTTATTTCCAAATCATTCAAACAACGTTACCAAACCCTCAAATTAGACGTGCGAATGTGCGTTTCCAAATCATCCCTGGTTTAGTGTGAAACTGACTTAATGGGGTGCACAGATGGAATCTTACCATTGGAAAACTGAAACCATTCCATGCGTTTTCCCAACCGCTGGGGCAGCCTTGGATCGCGTCCTGTTTTTGCGAGTGGAACGATACCAGAGTAGTTCGCGACTGACAGACAACACAGCTGGAATGCACCGGTACAAAATACGTGCTCCTGTTAGTCACCGTTTTGGAGAATGAGTTGAACAATAAATAATCCAGGGTGTATGATGCATATATTTTATTATTCAAGCGATTTTGACTTATACTTACCGTGAAATATAGGGTTCCACGTGATCAACTTTTGTTGGGCTCATCATGTATTGTTCCAAGGTCGATAACCAATAAGACCGTCCATTTCGCATGTTCACATGACAGTTTCCAGTGGTTTTGGCAAAACAGCTTGCAAATGGCATGACGGAGAACTTGCGCAAACAAGAACCAGGCGTACCTATTGATGAAGGAAATTCGGACGTAAAACAAGGAGACCTCAAATGATTTTAATGATCAAAATGATATTTTACTGTACAGAAATTTATCGAGTGAGTTATAAACGAAGTGCGTGATCGAGATCAGTGAGTGAACAATTCACAACTGGTTTGTCATTTCTGTCTCTTATCAACAAACTGGAGTGAAATTCAGGATTGAATTTTTGTTGCGGTTAGGACTCGAACCAGTAATTCTTATATGTATCGAAATCCGCGCAGAAATAGTCCAACCCGGAACTAGGACTCGGAATGAAATTAGTATACAGAACTCAGAAACGGAATCGAACTGTAATAAGCGGAAATTCGGAATGTATTAGGGTAACGTGTTCAATAAAATAAACGAGTTCATAGTTCTTGAGCAATCACCACAATTTTGCACCACTCATGTAATCATCAGACAGGTTCATTCTTAATGCAATGGTCTTCGGCCCATGTTTAAAAAACATCGTAAATCATTGTCTTTTCTTACTGTCTGATCTTGATTGTCATGAATAATCTGTTAAATGAATATTCAGCAAGTTTAGTGTGGTGCTCTCTTCCTGAGGGTGAATCAAACAAAAAGCAATTGGTGCGGGTCTTCAGATCCATTCTCTCTCTCTCTCACTCTCTATATATGTTCCATTTAGGTAATAAACGTTCTCCTTTTTGTTTTATTTCGAGTTCAGATAGACAAATAAATTCGATAAATAAATGAAACAGTCGAGGTGTGTGATTTCAGGTCTTACGCGATGATCATAGATGTTTCTGGAATAGTAAGTAGAACGCTGTAGTAAATCAAGAGGTCAGTGAATAAGAAAATTTTCCATGTGAAATCTCACTTAGAACAAAGCTCATAAAGCCAGCCTTTTGCTTGGTTTGGGTAAAATTTTGTTGATCCCCTGTCTTCAATTCAAAGCATTTTCTCCTTAAAAACATCCAGTGTGATGGGAATGAAACAACACCTACTGACTTATTGATTATGGGCTAATTTACGTGGTATTATACCGTAAAAGCATCTGCAATGTGTTTGATCAGAAAAGAATATAAGGGACACTTCGTTTGTCTTTTGAATGAAGCAATGCAGCATGATATTTTCGAGTACGAGGAGAATCAGAAATTTTAATTTCGTCAAATAAAGACATCTATGGAACACTGGTGAATCACCATGCTCCACAGCACCGAAATGTTAGATTGGAGGAAAAACCACAACACTTGTGGGTCGCATCAAACCGTTGGCATTGATATCAACCGAAGGAATTTTCTAACCACAAGCCATCCTTTCTGCTTTACTGAACAAAACATTGCACAATCCCTTCCAGGAAATCCAGTGGGACCAATCTGAGGCAACTCATCACTCTCAGTCTCAATATTTCATCTGACTGACTTACTAACTGGCTGATGTTTTCTCAATGCTAGTGATTTTCACATTTCACGAAGATAACGCGCGAGTAATTCCCAATCTGTTGTTTGCTTATTTGTCAGTCATCACGTGATCGCTCGAACTAATTTCGAATTTTCGAGAATGAAATCATGGGAATAATGAAGTTCACACAATGGTGTTATATGTATGCAGCAGTGATGCTGCTAACTCAATCATTTGATGGACAAAACCGTGTGTGACAAATACCATGAGTTGATCCACAGAAGGAAAGGAAATACGTAGACGTACCTAAATCCATGGTCATTGAGTCATCATCGCCTTGTAAAGTAACCAAACTGAATCCGGTATACAAAGGTGTTGTATAGATTGGGCACTGTGGAGGCCTGGAATCCTGCGAGTGAACTGTGAACAAATAGCCGGCATCACCAAGTCCAATGGTCCCGTTCGGTCCAGCCGGTCCACGATAACCTTTCTCACCCGGATATCCCTTTGGACCGCCGTAACCTGGCTCCCCTCGCATTCCCCGATCCCCGGGTGGTCCAACTGACCCGGGTCGTGGATTGGGAAGGCCCTTCATGCCCTTCTCACCTACATCTCCTGGCTTGCCCGGTTGACCTAAACAATGGACGAAAGAGACAGTGAGAGAGATGATGTACAGCGATTCTGGACAACCGGATATTGAAAAAGGTCAACATGAAATTGATTGCTGACCGTTTTGCTCTAATTGATGATAACATTGTAATATTGAGGAATACGGAAGCAGAAATCCGATTATCATATCAGTACGCACATTAGTTTTACTAACATATATTTATATACTGGATTCTTTCTTCGGTTGCTCTGATCGTGTAAATGAGCACATACAAATTCCGCCTTAGATACGGCATGTTTTATCGAACACACATTGGGAGTAATTGTCATTTGATTTCTTAGGTCAATGCAGAAGCAAAGGTTCTCATGTATTTTGATTCTGTTTGCATACTCAGTACTGTAAGTTTTTGACCTTTGTTTGCAAACTGATGACATCTTTATAACATTGTTGGATAATTTTAGTGTAGCAAGCTTGGATTAGCCCATTTGATTGGTAAGAGGCACCAGGCACTCTTGGATAATGTTTTTTCTGATTCTCTGTCTATATATAGATATATTTATTTATCAATCAAAAATATTTAATTTAGGCGAATGTTTTCGATGCATTTCAACAGGGAAACTCTTGAATGGGGGAGCTGGTTAAGCTAACAATTTTCACCAAATCTTCACCAGACTCGACTGGGTGGTCGCATTTGGAACTTCACAATTGGGGTTCGGCATGAACGCACCTGACAGCCCGTCGAGACCAACTTCACCCCGTTCACCACGATCACCTGGTTCACCACGCACACCTTTCTGGGCGACCCTGGCGTATCCCGATTCTCCTTTACGTCCAGTGAGACCTGGTTGACCACGTGGGCCTAGCGGAAAGAAAGTCATAAAGAAACCTCGGGTGAACATTAAAAAGCAAAATGGTATAACCTGAAGTAGACCTGAAATTGAAACCGTGTGAATTAACTGATGGTCTAATCTCGAAAATCCCCGTGTTTTCGAACCAGTTCCGTGTTACAAAACTGATGCTTTCTTCAAGTTTTGTATACATTCGTTTTTTTCATTCTAGGAAATATGAAAATCAGTCAATCCTACAGTTCAAGAGACTCATTCTGTTGGGGTGAAGAGAAAACCTAAGCGATGAGGTTTGAAGTGCCCAGTCACAACAAGGTTGGTTTCGGTTAGCGAATGAGAAAACAGTTTGCTACCTTTTTTCATCGAAGGTGATAACTTGAGCAGATCACTTCTGACGGAATATGCCTTTTCAATCGCTGCATTAGCTTGGCCTGAGGAGTATTCAAGACTACATGGAAGAACACTCAAAAGTTGTTTTACAACAAATTTCCTCGGTATAGTTAACTGCGATTGCACGGAGGTGGTGAGTTTTAAAATGCATGCCGGATAACATATTGCAAATGAGATATTTCATTGAAATCGTTGCATTCGCTGGTTACCTGGAGCACCAGGCGCCCCCATTGGCCCGACAGATCCACGATCTCCATCCCGACCACGAAGACCATCCGATCCTGGACGACCATCCGGTCCCGGGCGTCCAGGCATACCACGCTGACCTGTTTGTCCAGGCAAACCTTTCGGTCCAATCGAACCCGGATAGCCACGATCTCCAGGCAGACCGGCTGGTCCCGGGTATCCTGGGTCTCCAACTGGACCAGGAGCCCCAGGTGGACTCATGCGACCTTGAGGCCCACGATCTCCACGGGGACCTGAAGAGAGGACCATTTTGGATGCAATTTAAAAGTATTATTTCTTGCCTATTCAATTAGACGAATTTTGCCAAACAGGAATACAAGACTGAACGTACCTGGTTGTCCGTCCATGCCTGGGCTACCCGGTAAACCTTTCTCTCCCATGATTCCTTCTCCTGGATATCCTCGTGGACCTTTCGGCCCAGGCATTCCCAAAGATCCTTTAATGGGAAATATGAAATTTAACTCCATCAGTTGTTCGGTTCGTATGTAGCGGTGGAATTATGTATAACAAATCGTTCACCCTATTCTTTTGGGTTAAATGAATCAAGATTTTAGAACAAGAACCTTCTTGAATTTATTCGTTGAAATATATGAATTCTCTGAGAAAGCTATTAGTGAAATGAGGCTTCAAAGTCAGATACAGAATCTGAGGAAAAATGCCATGCTCGTTTTTTGACAGAAAACGATAAACGAGTATCACCTACAAATTTTAACACTGGAATACTGTCAGGCGAATTCTCTCGATTGAGCCAAGAAACAAACACAGGTATTGATATGAGAATTGAATTGAAGAAGAAGGCTTCAACTTCGTTCAAGTAGTTACTAGATTGAGTCTTTCAAATAACTGAGGGTGAACATGGATACCACGGAAGATGCAAGAAATGCAAATATGGCCGTAGAGATGTGTTCTGCCCAGAGTATGTTGTGGCATTTTATCTATTTAGGATCCCAGCCAGAATTATGACACCAAAATCTTCATACTGTTGATCCGCTCCCATTGCTCGATGCTTATTACTCGTCCCACATACAGGTGTTTGATTCACCGGCAGTTATTGTTATTGTCCTTTGTTGCCCCGAAGAGAAAATGTGTGAACGGAAGCAGTTGTTCCTCACATACCTCTCCAGCCTCTCATATATGTAAAGGTCATGTCAGGCCAGAAGGTCATGCACCCCTAACTCTATCGGACCACCAAAATTGATGGGATAATATCCTTAACGAGGTGAATGGCTGACAGTCCACAACCTCACTCTTCTCCCTGATTTGTGCGTGTATGCGAAAGAGACTTTGAAACCCAGTGTGGGTTTCTGATCTTACTTTGAAAACTAGTGTCACCGGAATTCTGGTGCCCATATTTCAAGATGTGAAATTATCTAAATCAACTCGTATATTCCCCAAATAAACTTGAACTTTCGCTTGGGAATTGCATGTCCACTTTACTTGTAGCCTCCTCCACAAATTAGTCATTTCCTGTGCACTCTTTACAAACAGTAACTCTTACCCAGTTCCTAGCAGTTAATTTTCCCCTGTTACCACGTAAATAATTTTGTAGAGGAATCGTATACGGGCGAATAGCCTCATTGTGCCTACTCATTGAATTGTGGAGAGTCATGTTATGGCGTTAGCGTCATGCTTGTCCACAAACCGGGAAACAAGCGAATAAGATGATGCCATGCGTTGACTTGCCGTTTCAATATCATTTGATCACTAATAGGCACGTGCTTGGTGCTGGTCTTTGCGAAAAGTACGCGAATGGTGAGTCATGTAAAAGAAGCTGTTTACGTTAGAACTATTCGCCACAAATTCTCGTCAAAGCTTCGCATATCAATGAATCCTGATGGAATGTAATTTTTCAGTTTATTATTCAGCTGCACAGAAGCAACTTGTAACCAAGGACTAAACGGGAAACTAATTGTAATAGATAAGCTACGTTGTATCAGACATGTCCGAGTAGTGGGCCGTCAATGAAATGCAATATGAAGTCGACGTTGACCCATATGCACTGTAGTTGATCTCGAGTCACATTAAACATTCCAGACAAATTGTGAGTGGTTTGTAAATTCAAAAACCGCAAGTAACCGTTGGTTCATTCCAACTTATTAACTCGCGAGCAGTTTGCTTTCCAAAACACTTCAACTTAGCTTCTCAGTGAGTGCACTTGTGTATACAGGTCATCTTGTCTGTAGTGCAACTGTGTGGCAACCTAGAAAAGTTAGATTTCTGAGCCGAAGTCATTGGTTAATGGAATCGTTCATCAGACAACCAACATTAGTAGTTAATTGGTGGATAAAGATGGATTTTTATTCAGGAGATACCTCACAATACTGAAAGCAAAAAAGTATAGGAGAATAAAAGTGACCCCGCAACTGAGAAATGTTTTGTGCCATCAACACATCTTATTCTACCTGGAACTCCCTTCATTCCATCAGGACCGAGCATTCCTGGGCGACCCATCGGCCCTGGTTGTCCAGGAGATCCAACGGGGCAAGAAGGAGAGATTCCACGATCTCCTTTTGGACCTTGAAAGCCTTTTCGACCAGGGAAGCCTCTGCTTCCTGGAATGCCTGGTTCTCCACGTGCTCCTGGCTGACCGGGTAAACCACGATTTCCAGCGTACCCCGGAGAGCCCTGCATACCTGGCAGTCCAGGTTGTCCGATCGGGCCACGCATACCCGGATAGCCCGGTTCACCAGGGGAACCAAGTGGACCTGTGACATAGTGGAGGGAAGAAAATGAACATGTTAGGTGGTACGAAAATACACCCAGTGTTATTAGGGAGGAAAGTTTGAAATACCTTGGACATTTGTGCATGATATTTCTCTGTTATTTAAGCATTTGTCTAAGAGTGGTGCCATAAATCGTACACCGGAATTCGTAACACGGTGGATTGATACGATACGGCCCACATAAGTGATATTTCTGTTTGTAAAATGATACTACTCATGAGTATAATGAACATAAAAGGATAAACAGGCAGTGTAATAAATGTGTAATATCAAGTGGAACGTTAACAATATTAGTTATACCAAAAATGAAAATGATAAACCTAATGGTATACATGACGATATTATTGATTAAAAATTATAAAATAGATAACATGTATATAAGTAAAGATAAAGATGAAAAATGAGACCGAAGAATAATAAGCCTAATAATAATAATATATATATTATGTATAATAATATATATCAGTATATTAGATATTATATTTTCTGATTATAATTATATTTCATTTATATATTACATTTAATATATATATATAGTATATATATTATTACACATTATACATATATATAATAATAATATGTACCATAGTAATATGTAGTACATACTGTATAGTGTAAATTTTTACATCAAATATTATATCATGTAATATTATATCATAATAAATGTATACGTATTATGTATATATATTATGATTCAGATACGATCAGTTTTCTATAATGAATAATATATTGTATGTGAAATATACGCGTAATATATGCACATACATATGTGTATTCATTCCAGACATCCGAATCCACAAAAATCCACCTGACATTGTTTCAAGGACACAAATTAAAGCAAAAGCCCCTAAAAATCATCTTTTCATAAGGGTAGCATACCTGCATATGTGTATATAATGAAATAAGTAAGAAGTAATCAATGAATAATAAAATCTACCCACTACTCCAAAATAAAATTCAATTCAAGAAAATTCAGTCTGGGGCCCGCTTTGTATCAATCCGCCCAAAAACGTATTCACCTGAATCCTGCTGATCTAATAACGGACCAGCATTGCTCAGTATAGTCGCTTATTTATCTTTACTATATGGCTTAATAGAGCAATCTCATCTAGTGCAGATTATATGCTGTGCAAGAAGAATAAAAGATATAACTACCTGGAAATCCTTTGTCACCGGGCATTCCCAAGGATCCAGGATATCCTTGCATACCAGGGAATCCCTTTCTGCCAGGACGCCCAGGAACCGTGGATGATGGAAGACCCGGATCTCCTCGAGGGCCCCAATCACCCTTGGGACCTACATCACCATATTCACCAGCTTTTCCCGGTTGACCTTTGGCACCAGGAATGCCATCTGGTCCTTCCATACCGTCCGGACCTCGAGGTCCAGGATCACCCTGAATGAGGTCAAAAAATATGATTTAGTGAGTGAGAAATAAACAACTTTCTTCGGAAGCTACAGAATAAAAAATAAAAAATGCCCAAATCATTATATTTTAATTTCTGATTGTTCATAGTTTCTTCGTTACTTTTTCCCCAATATGCCGCAAATGGTGATTCGAAATTTTGTTGCTAGAATAGGTTTTAATGAACATTAGTGATAAACAAAGTAGGAGCACAGAGAAAATATAATGACTCCACTTCTATTGGCTATTTAAAGATTAACAGCAAACGATAAGCTCAGCAACTGAAATTTCATCCAAAAAGGCTCTCACCTTCTGTCCCATCCGTCCAGGCATTCCTGGGAATCCCTTTGGTCCAAAGCTGCCCTGCCTTCCTGGAATTCCTGGTTCTGCCCGTGGTCCGGGAATTCCTGGTCGCCCTTGTTGACCTTTTGGACCAAATCCATCTCGACCGGGATCCCCCTGTTTGCCCTCTTTCCCAATCAAGCCTCGTACACCTTTGGACCCCGGTAAACCTGGTACACCCATGGGACCAGGACTACCGCCGAAACCGACTGAGACTTGGGCATCCATACCGCGGTCACCTGGCATACCCCGTTGACCCGGGATACCAGGTTTGCCTGGACAAATCAGAAGAAAATACGGGAAGCAGATAGTCAAGCGAAATTCTTTTGAAAAGTACACAAAGAAAAAACTGGTGTTTCACTGCACAAAATCTTAAATGCAGTATGTATCAGGACGTTTATAAAACCCAGACTTACAGAAAACATACATAACTTTGAGAAAATTTACAACCGAACCAATGAAATCATTCGTGTAATGTACGNAATCATAAAGCCACAATTTAAAGGTTGAAGAGAAATGAACTAAAAAACCATAGATACCTCCTGTTTTAATCAATTATTAGTATTTGATTGTCATATACGCATTATTTTCCGACGTGAAACTTCTGGAAATTGCTTTGAAAATGACCGAATTCTTTTCCAAATAATATAATTTGGTATACTTTATTGTATTAGATTGGAATGCCATGTCTGTGCAAGCAAAATAATTTCCAAGCTGTCGCGTATCAACCGACACAGACACAATCAATAGAAGAGGATCAAACGGAGAAGTCATGGTAAGTCATAGAAAGAAAACTGTTAGTTTAAGGGTAAATTAAGATTCTCTTAAAAACCTTGCTCTCTTTTGGTTAGACACGCAAATCGCTATACATCTTTCTGCGAATTGGGATATGTTCGAGTAAAGAACGAGTGGTCAAATGAGAGCCACAACATGCGCCCGTTGGTGACAGTCCGTGACAGTCTAAAATAGCACAACCGGTGTGGGGGGAATGGCAAACCCCTTTCATAGAACTAATCATTCACGGAGATATAGCAAACGTGACCAACAATCACCAGATACGGATCGGAGATTAGAAAAATGGTTGAAGTAGGACATGGAAAATAGTCAGATAGTGATGAGGTGAAGAAGATGAGGTGAGACAATGGTTATGAAAGCGCCCTAGCTTACAAATTGGAAACGATGGACACCGACATTTCCCAGTCCAGCAACAGATGTGAGTTAAATAAGAAACATTATAGTTTACAATGACTTGATAGCTTTTCAAGGAGTTTACTGAGGATAGCTAATTTTTATTGATGATCTGCCTGAAAACGAGAGCATGTAAAAACTACCGATAACTACCATTAAATTTAAACGCTCACCAGATTCTCAGGTGAAAACATCTACTTTTGGTCCGTTTATGATGTCGTTCAATTGTTAGTTTAAGTATCCAACTAAAAAAATAGGGCATTATCCCTTAACTGGTGTGAAGGTAAATTGTCATACTGTGAAACAGAAAGATGGCGGTGAGGATAGTTGAAGGGGACTGATTGGGGGTGTTTCCGTGCCCGCAGTCTGTGTGGAAATGAGAGCTTTAGTCACACTGGAATAGACACGCCTATTAAAAAGTATTGTTTTGCGTTCTGTACAATGACAGTTGGATTATCTATAAGGTGATCTTTCAAGTACTAACAGGACCAGGTTCTGCGGGAAAAAGACGATAGACATGCCTGTGGGCCATATCCCGAAACTGACGTTGGACGGTCAGGTGGAAGTAAAACAGCTCAGCAGGAAGCGTATTGTCTGGATTTATACTGGTTACAATATACCAGAGACCGAAATAATGCGGAATATAGAAACAAGTCACCCACTTAGGACAATACTCCTTAGAACTTCGCGATTAGTGATTAGCAGTAAAACCCTAAAAGATCCGACTGGATGAGTAAAGAAACAAATAGGAGTTAAAAGTTGTATACATTGGAGTTACCAGTGGAGTAGGGGACACCCATCATTTTGGGTTGTGGGAAATGAAAACGTAACTACACAACGACTGTTGCAACTGTATCAACTGCGAGTGGTAAAGGTCACGAACCTATTACTCCGGAGAATATGTGTTCGGGTTCCACCACTACCGACGGGTTTCCCCACTCTCTATATGTTGGATGGCATCCTACTGATTGGCCGCTTCCTCCTTCTCAGAAAGTGTTTCATTATATTATATAAGATATATTCAATACAAGAAGTAAAATGTGGGATGAGGAAAAAGAGAAAAAGGACACTGACCTCCTTTGAATGGTACTCCCATGAACAGCTCTTTTTCAGAAACTGGGTGATCAGTCTACTCCTGTGACAGGTTACAATTTTCCATCGCATGAGGAATTTGTTTGACCAGTTTTGTGCAGCATCGAGTGGACGTATTCAGACTTACCTATTTGACTTGCAAGATTAAGAATGTATATCACTGGAAAACACTTTCTCTTTTCAATGAATTAACTCAATTCCCTCATGGAGTTTATGTTGTGCAAATGGCACTCATTCGGAATTAGCTATGTCAATCATTCAAGTCGTTCTATTATTCTCGGTGTGGATTTAAGTGACACCGTATTGATTTACTATAAAAAAAATTTCCGTTCGTTTTTGTAAGTGGTTCAGTTCCATGAGTGATGAAGTGGTGACAAGCAAAGATAGTTTGAGTATCACTCTAACCATCCCCTACATCACCGACAAGAGCTTTCATGTTAGATCGTGTAGCTTGTGCGATGTTTACGAAGTAGCATTACCAGAAGGCAATATAATACCTATTCCATTCTATTCTATCTAGAAAAAGAAACAAGTAATCTCTATGAATTTAGAGCGAATCAGGCAATAGCGCAATCAAGCAACAATAAACTTTAGAGTTCATGAATGATTTCCGTGATCATAAATTTGCTACGAGAAGATTAGGCGGCATAGACGTTTAATGATTCGTTTGAACAAAGCCAAAATAATTAGATTTTGAAAATGTCCAATTCCGATAGCCCTACATATTAAAAACCGGACCCCATACGAAGCTTTTGTTTACAGAACAATACCGACTGCTTTATTGCAAAATATGGGGATGTTGCATAATTGATTCTTCAGCCAGCTCCTTGTACTATCGTGGCGCGGTTGCGTCTACTGGGAAAGTTAGCTGGAGTGAACTCTGTTTAAACGATCTTTTCAGCGGTACCATGTACAACTCTGCAGCCAACAAAACCATACCATACTGGGCCAATCTGCAGGACACGGATCGCAGAACTGTGGTCGCCCTTGGGCGGATGGGCCTAGTTTCCCGGACCGAAATATCAGCGGAGACCCTCGATGTCGTGGAATTGAACGGTTTATCTGTAAGAACAGTCAATTGTTTTTGAGAGGTATCGTAACACGCATAAATCTAGCTCTCGTCCAAGTGAGACTTTCCTCATCACCCTGTCGTACTCCAGGTAACAGTTTTTCTTTCACGCGTAGGCCTTATGTCTTCGCAGAAATGGCTGAATGATACCAGGACTGCCATCTTGGAATTACAGTCAATCTCCTACTATGTCGCACCGATCGGGAATTCAAAAAGTGGGTAAATTTCAGGAACTGCGACATAGCATGCTAGTCAGTAGTAAATATTATTAAGTGGTACAAAGAATCAAATGGGAATTTTGTGATGAAGTACACCGGATCGATGAAAACTACGTTACTTCCGGTACTTGTCTCCAATGTTTATAATTATGTACTATTTATTTATAAAAGAATTTAGACATGCCGTCCTGCGTATCCTTTATGCGTCGAAGAAATTGAAACCTTTAATAATGCCCTCAGCTTAAGATGAGTATTTAGCCCTATTCAGCTTCCAGTTATTATTTATCCCGAAACTACCCACCTTTCTTCAGGGAAAGTTCTTCTAACCCAATTAGCGCATATTAATTAAAGATATTCCTCCATTCCTTTGCAGTGTTAGGCTAACCACATAATTAAGTATATGGCGTCCACCATAATATACAACTGTTATATAAACCCTTTCGACGAAAACCAGAATGAACCAGATCCAACACAGTGATAACACGGGACAAAAAATCTCATTCGAAGGAAATCACGTCATCTAAAATGAGTAAAATATCCGTTACGGAGTATAGTCAGTACATCGACCTCTTTCTCGTACTCCAAACTGATTGCTGGCTGTGAAATCTATTTATGATTTTCTGGCGAAAAAATGTGTAGTAACAGCTCCTTACACATCTGTTCGCTGGTTTGCTTTTGTTGCTGTCAGTGCATGTTCAAATCGATCGATACATTCGTTATGGTCAGTCTCGGCAAACATGAGTGACGGATCAAGTTCAACACGTGATGCACGAATTAAAATTGTCAGGAGCGCTTCAGACCCGGGTTACAATGACCTTTGGCCAATGGTCTGTCTAATTTCATCGATGTTTTAACAAAGACATGCGCGATTATCGTTCATCCACATAGCTATTATCGATCGCTGGGATCTGACATCTTACACCAACTGCCTCCTTACTAGACCATCGCGATTACTGTTCAGCCGTTTACACGTTAGTGCCACAGTCCATCGATAGTCCGAATGGCCGTGGCTTTAGTGGTTCGATGGAATATAACAGTGTAAAGAGATTTTCCTGAAACACCGAGTGGATTGGCTATGAAGCTCTGAGTTTCACTTGGCTGATTCAGCATTTCCAACACGTTCTGATCGATAGGTGATAGCACATTTGGAAGTCAAATGACATCGGTGTGTCCTCGTAAAGACCATCCAATCAGTGAACAGTGTCATTTTAGCGTCACACTAGGTGAAACGCCATTGACTGAGTGCTACATTGCAGGTCGGTTGGTCAATGTCCGTCCCAAACATTAGTCAATGACCAAGTGAGTAGGTATCAGGGTTGCGACATAGTAGGAGATTGACTGTAAATGACCATCTTCTTTCAAGTGACTACCTAATCTAATCGCACAGTGAATCTGAATGACGCCTTTAGTTCTCTCAACCGTTTTCGAGATCATTGATTTAGGCCAGTTAAAATTGCACCCCGACAGCACTCGAACAATTGGGAATCCTTCCAGATACATATCAAATATTTTACCAAATATAAGTGACAGAATGAACACTTACCACGTAGGCCTGGATCTCCTGGTGCACCGAAGCTGCCCGGACTTCCTTTGGCTCCCTGTGAACCAGGCCAACCCGCTGTCCCTTTCGGTCCGGGAGGACCCATGCGACCGGGAAATCCATCCACTCCACGATCTCCTTTTGGCCCATTGAAAACGGACAACCCATCCAAACCTGGATCTCCACGATCGCCTGGTAGACCGGCATCTCCAGGCAAACCACGATATCCTGGCAAGCCCATTGGTCCTGGGTCACCGGGCATTCCTTTATAACGACATACACCAGGCTGACCCATTTCACCCTTTCGACCCCAAGTGCCTGAAATAAAGAACAATCCAGTTGAATTCAGCTCTTATTGGAGAAGTGCACCAAATGAGTTACCACATAATTGGTTAAACCGGTGAATGAAACAGGTTTTGCACGGGGTTTTCACCAGCGTAACATGCTTGAACGCGCAAATTCCGCAAAAGCACTGTAACCTTATCACTGGGGATTCGAGTCTCACCATTGAACTGTGAAATACGTCAGAGTACTCACCAGGATATCCACGGTTCCCTTTAACTCCCGGTTCTCCAGGCACCATATTGGAACTAGGCATACCACGACGACCTCTGGATCCCTTTGGTCCGGGGAAACCTCGTGGTCCAAACGGTCCATTATTCCCAGGTTTTCCTGTTTAGTGAAATAATGAAATAGGCAAAACTATGAATGCAAATTCATATGAAGTTTCATTGATTTTATCTATCAGATTTTGTTGGTTGGTATCACTTTTGATTACATTCTGAGTCCTTTCATGTGATTAATTCATCTGTTTCCCGAAACAGGTAATGACTCAATAAAACACGTCTGATTAAACCAGTGGTTGAGGTCTTAAGCCGATGTGATGATGATCTATTCTGTCACTTTCTGTTCCAGTTGCTGAGTTGAACGGATAAGTTTTGATGACCCAAATGTCCAAAACACAAATGGGTGATTGAGAGGAACGCGAACGACTGTCGTTATAAACTATAAACTATAAATCTAGGCGTGTGATTTGAAAATTCTACTTCTTACTTATAGAAATCCTCGCGTAGTTGAGACAACGTAATGCCTTATGTGTGTTCGTGTGAGATGGAAGTAGCAGTCAACAAGCAATAAACCCAAATCAAATAACATTATTTGAATTTTATTCTAGAACTTCTCATGAGTAGTAAAGTTTGATTCGTAGTTTTCGATGTGACTGATTAACCTTTTGCAGGGGAAAAGGGAGGTTGTGCTTAAAAATAGTCTTAAGAATAAATAGTCATGTCAAAACTTCCCATATTTCAAGACACGACGCACAAATAGTCGTCAGTCGATTACGAAAGTTCAATTCGGCTTGGTTAGTTCATCTGGTCATAAGAGTGCCCCGTAAATCGCTATCGGTTTGCTACCACCCCAATAACGTGAACTGTAATTAGATCCACTGTATCTGTCGTTTCGAGTCAACCAGATGGATCTGCATACTTGTTTGTAGTTTTTAGAACAGAGTAACGAAGTTGTATTGCTCCATTTGTGTTTCCAACTTATACGGGAATAGGTGGATTGCCCAATTTTAAACCGCATGAAAAATTTACATATTCAATATCCTGACTGTTTTGTTCTTTGCTAACCAAATTTCTACTAAAACGATAGTAACATTTGTTATTATTAATTCAGGCAATGAATCTCAGTTTCGCTTACCTGCACGTCCAGGGAGTCCTTTCAAGCCTGGATAGCCCATATCACCCGGTAGGCCAGGTACACCTGGGGAACCGGGGAAACCTTTCTCTCCGGGGCTTAGGAAAGCTCCTCTTCCAGCATCACCTGGATCTCCCGGTGGTCCTTTTTGGAGAATAAATAGGGAACGAAAATAATTGATTTTTTGTTTTAAACAGCGATTGAAAATTAAAAAATACACAATAATTTAAGACTATCTCGTTAAATACCAATTGATTTCAATCTACAGATTTCTAAAGGGTTTCCTTTTAACAAAGCTGATTGGTTGACCTATTATTAACAGTTTGTTTGAGGTGATTAGAATTCGAATTGTTCAATGTGTTTCTACCAACACTCGTTTTGTGGATGGTACACTGTCCCACATCAAGGACTTGAATTATTGCTTAACAAAACATATCTTGCCCCGCTCAACGGAACTGCCACTTGACCACGGAGTTCAAGGTTACCCTGGATGGTAGAAACACAGATTACAATGTGCTTTGAGCATTCATACACTGGGGCGCATTAGTTTCTTAAGAACCACACCTTTGAGATTTTTGTTTTAATGAACGTTTTTCCGTTTAATAAGGACTTCTGGTTTACCATTGCATTTCGAATTGCAATGGTTTTGTTCATTAACTAATCTATATTTCTGAATAAAATGAAACCCTCCACCGAATGGTAACGGTTGCACGTTTCGGGGGAGTTCACTATTTTTAACCCAACCAAAGCCAAAACATAAATGTGGATTTCGCCACGTTTTTCATTAGTGAATTGTGTCATACAGTAGTTAGTGGTTGGATCAATAATTTTATTGGCATTTGCAAGTTCAATTTATTCGAAATAGTTTTTCGCACAATTGCAGGCTTTTTACCGCGGGCTATCCTGATCAACAGAGATAACCACGTGCAAAATCTCGGCACTAGTATGATCTAGTGCAGTACGATATTTATAGTTGTCTGCAGTGAACTTCTTACAGTTTTGTCAGAGCTCAAGTGGTATGGACGAATGAAGCATTGCGATAAGGAAGTATTGAGGTGTTGACACTTGAAGAAATTAATACATCGCACTGTCAATCTTATGGATCACTTGTAAAAGACGGAAAAATGATCACACCTTGGACGCAGTTCTCGATACAGGGTGGCAAATGTCAGGACAACAAATTGAGGTAAAATTTTTCCAGCACTTGATACACTTATGTAACCCAAAATTGTGAACGCGCCTCACCGGCTAAATTACCGTTATTCGTATATTAGCAAATTTTGTCACTGAAAAAATAATCGGCATTTCAAAAATAATCTCACCATATGTATTTTAAACGGACAGTACCAAATACTTACCGCGCATTCCTGGCAACCCAGAAGGACCGGGAGAACCCGGGTCACCGATAATACCCTCACGTCCCGGAATACCAATCGATCCGGGGAATCCATCAATACCCATGGAACCTGGTCTACCGCGATCTCCTTTAATGCCTGGATAACCGTAGGTTCCATTTTCTCCGGGTGAGCCACGTATTCCAGGCAATCCATTGGCACCTAAGGAGAAAGGGAATGACAAGAAAATTACCATTGCTTCCAGGCAAAGAAATGCTGCAATAGCTTGAAAACTCAGCAGGTGAACAAAGACAAAATAGAAGAACCTAATCACGATCAGAGTGTCTTGAGCTCTGCTGCGTCCACAGTGTGGGAAGATAGTAAGGCGTACTTGGCTGATCAATTTCAAGACAATAACGAACGAGGGATGAGCATAATTGACAGTTATGGTGAATAATGGTTTTGCTTGAGACGGGTGTCGCAGGTAATATTTTACTGCATCAAAGAAGTATTCAATAAAAAAGGTTATTTTGATTAAAAGCTGTTTGGTTTCTCTGATGCGGTCCTGTACACTCCAAGTACATTCAAAAATGTTTAAACTGAAATAATTGCGCCTTAATTTTATGTAACTGAATGCGTGTTTTTCGCATGGTTAGTATCCAAGTTATAACGCATACTTTTACTCCGGATTCTACATCATTTAATGTGTTTTAGTCGATAGGGGAAATGTTTTGTTCTGAAACAGTTTTCTACCATGCAGTGGAAACAGACAATCTACTCACAAAAACTCAGATGCCACAGTGCCTTCATTACGAAACGTGAAACCGATCGAATATGTGGTGTAGAAAACGACGAATTAGCGCTACGATCTGAATCACTTCCATGAAGCAAGAAACAAACTAATTCTATCTTTCGACTACGTGACACACCATTTTGCGATGAAATAAATATACTCAATACATTTATCTCGATAATCAATGTCAATAATGTGCATCTGATTTTGTCGGCGTTCATGTTTATTTCATTTATTCATTCTGTCGCTGAATCATCCTTCAAGGGAAGTTACATGAGTGTAGTTCCCCCATCCCAGTTCTTTCATTGTTTTTTCTCTCTACCCGTGTCCATCATTAAATCCCTCGAGGTACCCACTTTTCAAACAGTTCCATTCTCACAGTTGTTATCGTTTTAACCGTGTCGTCAAAGTAGATACTTTTAGTACTGTATCGACAGCATTGTTTTGTGATTAATCGGCAGGTAACTAAGAAACTTCTGGTGCCAATGTTTGCACGATGGGTTACGGTGTATTCGTCTTTCACTGAATACACCCTAGTGTCTGAATCGACTTCAAGAACAGGAAAGGATTGTCTTTTTGGCTTCAAAACAGACTGTTGAAGTCGGTCACAATCGTATTTGACGGAGAATTCAATGTACCCGATAGTCGAAAATTAACCAAATTTTGCTTCCTCTATAGAAATGTATCATTTATATATCTGACCTTTCGTCTCACTTCGCTATTTTGTTCTATCGAATACAGACTGAGAGTCTTCACAATGAACACTTTATTTGATTTTAAATAAAAGTTATGTTGTTTGGTAAATATTTATCAATTTAGTTCGAGTTCATTTATACTTCAAATAAAATGGATAAAACAATGTTTGTTTGATTCATATACTGCAAATTGATCACTTAAATGGCTTCATGTTAAAACACATCTACATCCTTTGGCATTCCATTACGTCTAAAAATCACATTCCATGTAGTTCAACAGAGCAGTTCACAGGATATAGATTATCCGTTTTCATTTCAGGAACATGTTGCTCAGTCATCTCACTCACACATATCTTAGATCAATTCAAAACCAAATGGCATCAACCAGCCTACCTTTAAGTCCTTGATTACCGGGGTCGCCTTGTTCGCCCGGTGCTCCTGGATCGCCTCGGAATCCATATTCTCCCGGTTGGCCTAAACACCAATGAAGTAATCGAAAGGTTATAAATTCAGATGCCTATTATAGTGATACATTTGTCATCATTTAGTCAAACTATTCGATTTATTGTTGAATAAAATTTATTAAAATTTGTGTTTTTCTTCTTAGTAAAACAAGTGCAGGTGTAATATACTGATTCCATTGAACAAAAATCGATTATTTGATTCCTTCAATAAGTTCTGTTTTGGGACTCCCAAGATGAGACCAGGAGAGGAAGATGAATAGAATAGCCAAAATTCGTTGTAGTATCTCAGCTACGGCAAACTCGTTGTTTCATGAGTGGCAACTCTTTCCGAACAAATATAGGTGAATCTCATCAAACAGAGTTTGGAACCAATTAGCTATGTATAACACACTGAAATTTAGTTGGTGTCCTTAATATATTTCCCCATTCTTTCAAGCACATGGCCAGACATCCCCAAAACAATCACTAGCTTCACTAGATCAAGCGGCCAATTGACCCGGCCAATTGAAACGGTTTAGGTTCATCGGTTACAACTCGGAACCTCAGAGAACATTGGATCTTCATTTGAATATATTCTTTGTTCACACCAGAGTTAGTGTAAATTTGCTGTCGTCCATTGCACACAAAATCCACAAGTTATAAGCGTCATGCGTGAAACATAAATAAATAAATAAAATTGACCTTAGTTCGCACGAAATTTGTGAAATTTGTACACCTATACACACCTCTGTCGCGATTACAATGATCTCTTTGTGGCAAGAACTTACTTTAGCATTACGTTTACGTATTGAGAAGCGCTTGGGATAACATGAAGATCAAAATGAATTAGATACCTAATCTAGAAAGCATACAAATTTCGTCGGTTTAAATATAGCTGCAATAATAATAGTCAGCGCTGACAGCTTTTTGACTGCTGGCTTACCTTTAGCTATTTGGTGTGGAATGTAACCACAGTAACCTTTGTCTCCAGGTCTACCGGGGAATCCTTTCCGTCCAGGATAACCCTGATCACCCGGATCTCCGGGTAGTCCGTCAATTCCACGTCCGTCTTCACCCGGTGCACCTGGGATTCCGTCATCTCCTTTCTCACCGGGCATGCCCGGAATACCATTCTGACCAGGCAATCCCTGAATTGCATCGACAAAATACGAATGAGCTACGATTGTCGTGGAAATATGGGTCCATCTTAGTTTCGTCAAATTATAAAACTAAACATGTTTATCCCGAGGAGGTTCTCAACATCAAATCAATCATCCGGTGACCAAAATTTACCACCCAGGCGCTAATCAAATATACAGTGCTTAATTTTGGTTTCCCTTGGACTCCAAATAACAGTGCAGTGTTGGAAAATTCTCATCAATCAATGGCTGGGCAAAAGGCACACATTTTTATGGCAAGAGATAAAACCCGGTTATTTTCAGTTTATTATGATCAGAACAATACTGCGTGCTTCTTATGACCGGTTGGGGGATCAACCCAGCGTAACAAAACACAAAACGAAGATTCATTTCACACATATCTGTACCATCGTCAAAGGTTTAATCATTATCTCATTCTTATCCATTGAAGACAAGTTTTGCAGAGAGACTGAGGGTTGCTCTGGGACACTAACTGATTGCATCGCAAGGCTTATACATAATACAGGATGGAATAATTTCTCTATGCTTGTGTGCCGATGACAAAGGCATTCTCGTCTGCAGTATTAGATATTTCTGGAGAGAGTAGAGCGTTTCTGCTATATTCTCCGTTTAGGTTGACTCAAAATTGTGTAGACGTGTTGTGTTTTTGCTCTCACTTAGTTCATTATCTATAATTAAACTGACACGTTCTTTTGACTGCAGTGAAGCGGATATTTGATGCTTTACGAATTACTGATGTCCGTAAGTGGAACTCATCAAAGTTGGAAATCCAAAGTACTCAGATTAGGTCCTTTCAGATTTCCTTTAGCTGATAGTAATTCATATATCGTCTAGGCGATTCGGGATAGAAAGCTCTTGAATTTTATGCAAACATTTATCGGATCCGAACCAATCACCCTAAATCAGGCAACAATGACCATTTATTTTCTATATACCGACAGCAGGTAAGCATTAATGGTTGAATCTATCAACCACAGTTGGTAAAACACATCCAAAATACAGGTCAATAATCGTGAACCGTCTGCACAATTCGACCTGTAGCAGTTTCCTTTCCTCACTGGAGAGTGAGGCAGCAGAACAAACACAACAATTTGCAGACATACGCTCAGCGATGGAATATTTTTAGTTATAAGTTTAAAACTATGAATGACACAATGGGAATAGTTCTACTTTCAGCACTGCACTGACCCTGCGACCCGGCACTCCAATCGAGCCTTGGATTCCAAATGATCCCGGAAATCCGCGTTCACCTGGTTCGCCTTTGGCTCCTGGGTAGCCCGGTTCTCCTGCATCCCCGGGCAGTATCTTTTCCTGAACATAAGTGATCACTCCTCGTTCTCCGCGGTCTCCTTTCACTCCAAACGACCCTGGAAGCCCAGGTTGACCCTGAGATAAACAGAGAGAAAGAAAGGCATGGTCCAATGATGGATTATAAAGCCATTCAAATGCGGAGTGAAATAACTGAACGAGTGATACAAGGAAAATAAACTGCAGAGTTGGTTAGAGGACAACAGCTCTTTAAACCTCCCGAGGGATCAATAAGTATGCGCTTCGGAAAATGTTTTCAAGATTGTAGTGCCGAGTTTATACATTCGATCACGAAACAAAATGAATTTAATGCCCCAGATAATGGACCACGTTAGATCAGCATCAATCAAATTAAGTGACTTTAAATGGGTAGTTAGCCTGTTTGTATCCACTCTCGTCGAACAAACAGAGTCCGATGTTGGAATGCACAAATATAAGGGGTTCTCTAATGCGTGATGAATGAAATGCGTGTTCGATGGAAGCGTCAGTCAGTAGTCCGATCAACAACAAGAGTAATAAGTGGTGGGGTGGAATAAAGATAAAACGTACCAGTAACTGGCTACAAGCAGCCAAAATTTATTCAGGAAACACTGTAAGTAGTGCGAATAAGCTGCACTTGTGCCAAAATCCATTGAATGAAAGCTTACTCGCTTTATATAGTAAATCACTGAGGCAGGTATCAGTTTGCTTCAAACGTTTTAGATACTACATATAAATTATCTCGCGTCATCGTTGTCAGTGAAATCGGTACAGGCCCCACCGAACACGCTTTTCTCCTAATTATTTAATATCAAGCATTCTAACAGAAAACTCATTCACACACGAACACCCAATGAGTACCCCTGTGATCTGTTGTGTTCCCCAAGATAGCAGAGGCAAAGCGTGGAACAAACTGGCTTAATTCGCGAACATTTGTTTATCCAAACCAGATATGTCTGACTTACGTTACCTGAATGTATTCTTGCTTTTTTTTCTAAACGTCTACCATTTGAACTTTAGGGTGGGGGGGAGNTAATGGCTCACCTTTTTCCCGGGCATACCTGGTTGCCCATCACGGCCCGGATCACCATCCCAACCAGTGTCGCCATCCGGACCGTTGGTACCCGGTTGCCCGGAGAATCCAGCTTCGCCCATTTCTCCACTATCGCCTGGCAATCCTGGGCGTCCATCCTCGCACTTGGTACAAGTGATAATGCTTCGACCTGTTGTGTAGTGTAGAACATTAAAGTTAATGATTCGAGGCACGCTACTAGATGCTTTGCTTATATGGGTGGTGTATATACACTGAATGAATTATCCGGAGAACGTTTCCATGAATAATTGGAACATAAACTGTTTCCTTTCATTCACTAATAAAACTGGGAGCAATTTTTATTGAAAAAATTATAATTGGGTGGAATGGATTATTTGAGCACAGCATTTCAAGAAGGGATAAGTGATACACGGGTTGTCTTATTTCACAACCGCCTATGATACAAATATAAACACCATCCTCCAAAAAGGAATGCCTTTCAGCCATACCATTCAAATATTGAAGGATATTTGTAATATTCCGTAAAATACACAATTATTTGCTTCAGCTCCATTCGTAATTATGTTGATGCAAATGTACAGCGAATCTTAGATTTGTGTGGCCTTTGAGTTTGGCTGTGCCTATTTACCGTCGTAAATTATTTCACCCAAATGCAGTACAAAAAAGCTTAGTTCTCATTTTAAATCAGTTTATCTATAGTTCCTCGGTTATGAGACCTTTGCACTTTGTCACGTGCGCTCAATAATTTCTGAGTTTGGAGTAATTTTTTCACATAATCTTTCTTGGTTCAAACATTGCGGTTCAAAGATTGCCTTTCAATGAGTTCATTCCTGAAAGGCTTGTGGTTTCCCTAAATGAGCTTTTTAAATTTGTGACAACTGGCATTGTTCCGCATTGGTTGTTCTATTTCCCAATATTTTTCCAGAGTACAAAGGAGAAGACTCTATTTCATTTCCAGATCTCATAAACCTCCTTTCCATTACACTGATATTTTGTGTGTTCATTCTGATGCACGGGGACACCAATTCACCAGCCATGTACTGGAGGTTGAAGAAAGCTGTCTATATATATATATATATCTTTCTTGTACTTATGAAATCAGGAGAGAAAAGTAAATGAGATAAAGTAAGATACAGTACAAACCCCATGAAATAATTGTGTTCCCACTCTAATCGGACTGAGTTATTTCTATCCAAAATGACTCATAACTAACTGAGATTTAAGTAAAATTTTAGCCCTCCATTTACATTTGTTTACTTTGCACTGTATTCCCAAATCCTACATAGATAATGTAATTATCTGCATCAGACATCAGTTGAGACGTAACAGCCTGTCCAGGACATGAATCATGCAATGTTGGTTTACTGGCTTCTCTTTCAAAATTGAAATCTATCCAGGGGAGTTTAATGAGACATGTTTATTCAATACCTGCATGACAGATTAGATTTGAAGCAAGACTTTCAATTCGGTCACTGTATCACTCTGAATTCCGATCTGACTATCAATGTGGGAAACATAAGTTTGTGAATGAACTTCACTCTGATCACCTTCGATTGTGAGCTGGTCGGCATAGAGCTGACGGATCAGTGCGCGTGTGCCATTGCTTATTTTTCACAAAAGAAGAAACTTTATTCTCATACCGATGACCCAGTTTATGCTTCATTGACAAAATAAAGGTTTGGTTGAAGATATAGAGTCAAATAGATGATACGGCCAGACAAATTGCTCCTTTCAATTGTTTAAGGTGAATTTCAATAGTTGAAACATAAAGCGGAATAATTTGTATTCCCTCTAAGATTTATGATCTGGTGAATGAACGAGAACAGAGCATTTACTGGCCCTCAGCTGTGTTGTACATTTCAGAGTCAAAAAACTCACTTGACTTGCTTAACTTTGGTACACAGAGCTATTTTTTACCTAAAAAATTTATCGCTTAGGTTTATTTAAATATCTATACGTTTGAGATGTATGCGAGCAGTCTACAACCGAAATACTTGTTTCAGTTAGAAGAAGCAAGTTTGTAAATTATTTATAAATGTTTATTTGGATTCGAATACAGAAACTTGCTGCATGTCAATTCACCGAATTTTATTTTTAAATAATCTTGAATACCCACCTTTTGGACCTCGTACACCGGGTAAACCAGGTGAACCCGGCATGCCTGAGTCACCGTCATCACCGGGTGGTCCGCGTGGTCCAGCTGGCCCTCGATCTCCTGTACCTCGATATCCTTTCGGGCCCACATCTCCGGGATCTCCAGGTTCACCTTTGCGTCCAAATGAACCGGGAGATCCGGGACGTCCCGGTGTTCCCGGCAAGGCCTGGTCCGACGTATCACCAGGCAAACCTCGTGGTCCATCGCGTCCAGGCTCACCTTGAAGTCCCGGTTCACCGGGTATACCAGAAATACCTGAAGTGGAATGTACGATCAATGCAGGCGATTACATCGATGATTAGCAAAATCAAGTAGAACTTGTATCAGAGACTGATATTGTGATATAAAATAGCCTAAGAATTCCAAAATATTCATGAGTTGTAGTGGTTTTAATTTGAAGGATCATTCTGACGGAAATAACTAATGCACAACATGATTGAAAGCGCCATTGGAAGTCGTCTTTTTACAGGTTGTGTTTTATTCTCTTGATGGATGAATCTACATATGGTCAGCTGTCTTTCTACAGGAGACCTAACTATACCTCTAGAGGCTATATATAAAACTAGGTTTTATGTCCAGACACCCCTCGTTCCCCTACGGAAAATATGGTTTTAAAAGTGATTCGACTTTGATGGATCCAATCAACTTAGTTGAAATGAAAGATAAGGATGCAACAGTCTAATCCTACCATGCTTTGATTCTCCAAACCGTTATTAAAATGACGTTTTTCAACCTTTAATGTCTTTTGATCTCACATTATAGTTTCAATGAAGAAAACAACGCCAGATTCGATAGAATTTTATCAACGGAACAGGATGAACCCTTATGAAGTATGCTTTTTAAGGGCAATAAATCAACCCAATCGGCATGGCTTGAACGTGATTCGTCCTTAAATATCGCTCGTCGCAAGGTCAAACTACCGCGATCTACACAAGTTGTTTCAATTGCAGCTTTATCTATAGCATGCCCCAACTGACCATGTGCTGCCAAATCGCTGGTTACTGCCATTCAACATGATCCGGCACTAAAATATGGCTTCCAACCCATCCCACCCGCCGAATTACACATCGCATAGACGTTCGTCACGTTTCTTTGTTGTCATTTTTGTACTAAAAGATTTCACCTTGTAGCTTCAGCTTTCTATCGTGTATATGCCGAGGCTTCTAAGGGATCATCAATATTTTTATTTATCAAATCAAATACAGCACGGCCTGGGTGAATTCCATTCGCTAGCGCACTGGCTCTAAAAATTAATCCACTTGTCATAACCATTCAGTACGTAATCGAAATCTTGATCACCAAGTTTCAATCCCTTGGAACGGATGTACAATGTTGTTGTTATCTCATATTATGTATGAACAGAGATTCATATTCAGTGTATTTTAAACAACAATATTAATAACATTTTTACAACTTCTTCTACTTATTGAATGCTTATTGGTACAGTTATTTTCAGGACAGTGACGTATTACCAGTGACGCCCCTTTTAGTCAGGCATCAGACTGATGAGTCGCGACCAAACAGTGCTTTTGGACGGTTCATCGTAAGATAGTAATTATAGGGACTGGTCCTGAAAAATCATTCTCCTATTTCATTCAGAGAAAACCCAATAAGTGTCTGCCTATACTGCATAACATCATGACTACTGTTTCTACGAAGATAGGAAAAATACAGCTTCCTTGACAATAATTAGGTATCGTTGATGCGTTGAACAGCAGTATCACGTCGATCATGTTGATCCAGTTACAACCACAGTTCAACAGGCCCCTTCAATCAGATGAACTTACCGATTTCTCCCTTTGGACCAGGCAATCCAGGTTGCCCTTCTGTGCAATGACGACCAGGTAAACCGGGACGACCGACTGGTCCCATTGAACCCTTCTCTCCGGGAATACCAAATCGACCTTGACGCCCGGCGTCGCCTGGGTTTCCCATTGGCCCCGGTAATCCGGGTTCACCACGTATGCCTTTTGGACCGGCGCAGAATTTTGCACCCTGTTGTAAGTCGAATTAAATAAACTTTTGAATGACAAAATGGAAAACGGTTCAAATGTTTCATATTCGATCATCTGAAACTTTGCCAGAGCAAAAGCGTACAAATNTTCTGTATGGTTCAGTCTGACTTTATTCAGAATTAGATCCCTAGTTCAATCTCCATTATTTATTAAGAAGCATCTCAGATTATCGGCTTTCATCTGAACTTTCCTGTGGGCTAGTTCATGATGCATCTACTAGTAATAAAATACCTTTCCTCTTTTGCATAAATGCTGGTCTTGTGGCTGCAACCCAGCAGTTCAAAATGTTTCAACCTACACAATTACGATATTCTCGGTACTGTCATCATTGCGTGAGCTGATTTCGTGAAATTCCGCTTGAAGTCCAGATAGAGGCATACTTTAAATTCGACGGTCTCCTGATCTATGGGTTCCTTTTATTCAGGTTATCCCGGGAAAGCAAAGTTTGTCAGACTTGCAATTCGAACCTGAAAATCCGGGGTGGGGGTGACCTCACAAATTTAGGAACGTTAGCCTTTAAAACAGGAAAAAAATCTCATCCACTTGAAGTACGATTGTAGAACATAGAACATATGATGCGGAAGATTTCTTGCATTTATCACAATTTAAAAAACTCAGTCGATTCGAACATTTATCGTATCAGTTTGGTTTAAAAGAATATGAGAGACGGCAATGTAAGTCTATGGGAAAATTATAGACTAACTTGAAGCAGGGATGGAATCAGATACCATCAGACGGTTGATACTGGGTATAATTTGACGAGTAGATGTTGCATTGTAATCACAGTTCGCGTAAAATATATGCTGACAAAATTAACGTATATAATTGCAGTTGACGTGTTAACCGAGATGAACGTCATGTTAGCGAACGCTTCATTCCATGCCATGTCAAAAAAGTTTATGAAAGGAAAAATACTATGTTCTTACGTTTAGACAGCTGGTCAAAATTAAGTTTTAACTGATAAAACAGTTGGTAAAAGGGACTATGAAACAGTATCAAACAGCAAACAGCCCGGAGACTCACACCAGGTTTTCCCTTTGGGCCGCGGAAACCAGGAACCCCATCCACTCCCGGTGGACCTTGGTCTCCCTTGATACCGATATCTCCAATGCGTCCAGGTTCTCCATCGAGACCACGAGAACCCTAAGTGTATAGCAAGCAAGACATTTTTGGCACAGAACCATCAGTCAAGAAGAAAACAGAGTGAATGTGAGGAAACGCACTCGGTTATTGAATTAGGCCTCATTGTTTACTTTTTCTGCGGGTCATGAAAACGGACTGCGGGTCAATTTGTTCTACTGTGAGCTAGTTTTCAATCAAATTGTGAAGGGAGCATATTGGTCAGAGAAATAAATAAATTCTTTCAGTATGCAACTAAACATGATCTTTCAGATTCTGGTATTCATACTCTGTTCGGAGGAAGTACTGAATGAGAAATGATTAGTTTCAGAAGAACTGCCGGTTTAAGTCTAACCGCTTGTTACTCTGACAGTTCCGTGACAAAGTGAAGACATGTCCGCACGGGCAGTATGCTGACGTTTTGGTTAAATCTAGCTTCCGTATTGAGCTACGGATTTTCGGTACCAGAGTTCTCAGTAGATGTACCCGGGATTTCCATTCTATCAATCAGTCAACAAGACCTTTCATGGGTTTTCATTGTCCAAATAATACAACGCATAACTGACAGTATCAGTGCAGCACTTAGTTCGGACGAGTTTTCAAACTTTCAGTCGTTCATTCGTATGTCGTTTGATATTCTCCCATTTTAATGGTGAATGTAGTGTTTGTTAATTTTATCCCTCTCCGAAAGAGAAATGTGGGCCAAATTAAAATTGGTCAGCTGTAAACTCACATATGCACTAACAGACAAATCAAAGAAACATTGGAGTTGAAATGCTTTAATAAACCAGGCTGATGGATAAGTGAGTTGTATAAGTTGGTTTGATGACGGGATAATGTCAAACTAGATAGTGGATTTTGACAACAGGTTAAAAAAGGAGACTGTTTTAATGTGTATAACACTGAATGAAAGGAAGTGAGGTAGTTGATGATTAATATGATTTTCAGCCACATATCTCCTTGTAATAATGACATGGATAGAGAGAAAAAAATGCTTCGCACAATTAATGTTATCACGTTGAGTGACACGTTGATTCCGGTTGATGGGTGAATACGCATGAACCCCCCCCCCAAATCTTCCTCCTAAATACGGAATAGTTTATGAACTTTTACAGAACCTTCAGTCCCACCTGTCTCACCAGTTTCAGTCACCTTTTAATATTTTCAACATTTCAATGACAGTGATCTGTCTTGGGGTAAACAGTTAATTCGTTTGACCAGTCACCCAGTAGTCACTGTCAATTGAATGTGATATACTTCACGACTGTTTTTATCGTTAGAAATGTTATTCGCATTCACTCACCGGTTCTCCGGGCAGGCCTGGCATTCCTGAGTCACCTGGTCGACCCTGTGGATGAAAAAGGAGTGTAGGAGAGGATAAGTTAAGCAATTTATCCAAAGAAGAGCAGAATTGGTTACAGGTTCAAATAGCTTCTGAGATTTGGCTGGATGAATTTACTGGTCGACATTCTGTCCCGAACTAAAAGTAAGAAAATTGGACATGAACGTAGTATCAGTAAATATCAGATCAAAAGCTTTTCTGTTATTGCTTGTACTAAGAAATGACCATTATTTTACTAAGAAAATTCAAAGTAGACCTGGAAGGTTGCAATACATAACAGATTGAACAAATGCTGACGATTCATTACAAGTACAGTAGGAACGTTTGCTTCTATTGTACTTCGGTTGATCCAATCTGTTAATGTACGTAAATAATTGCAGCACAGAATCCGTCAATTTGACATTCATTATACTTACTATAATTGTTGTTAGTGATTCATCCATCAGCTTAGTCAGATTTCGAGGAGTTTGGGCATGTTCGAACAATGATTTATTATTTCGCGCAAGGTCATGCGTGCCTAACTGGGATTGAGAATTCCATTGGACTCTGAGGTAGGGACTGTGTCGTGAACTCCGAATTCGTTTCACTTCTGCGATCCCAGTTGGAGTGAGAGAGTCGGTTGTTTTGCTAAACATTGGTGAATTCCTATCTTTTATCTGTGACATATGCATAAAGATCTTATTCTTTGGAGGGAACAGGGACTGAAGAGAGGGAGGACTCAGTATGAGGCCCCATTTGGGGATTCTATTTTTACTTTGTCATACGTGACGCTTTTAGACAGTCGACAATCACACTTGTTGCCGCACCTTTTTCTGCCAAGTTGCAGCCAACGTGCACAAAACCGTTTAATCCAATATCTCGTCTATCGGGACTTTTGTTCAGTGTAATTTTCGGTTAGTTTCAGGTTTCTCCGTGCAGCTTTACCAGTAAATCATTGGTAAGGAAAAGGTTAATGAGCGACTTTGTCCACATTATTATCTTGACCATAGGAGCCAAAAGAAGGTCACATGAGAAACAACACACATTCTCACTTACTCGATCACCATGCCTACCCGGCAAGCCTTTTTCTCCGCGTAATCCTGGAGGACCATCCACACCCTGTTCAAAGAGAATTAAAATCAACATGAACACTAAAGAAAACGCAAATGTGTATAGCGAACAAATTTAGATCAAATAATCGGCTCATAGAAAGTGGCTTCTCAATTTATAGCTATTATTTCGGCGGCTAATCGGTTTGGAATCTCAGAATATTAGCAACATGAACCAAAAAGTACAACTGCTTCAAGCCCTATCCCGTTTAACTTTTGTCGGTGTGTGTCGGATAGCAAGGGAATAAAGGTAAAGCAATAAGCACACAGTTGTTCGACTTTGCCAATTAAACATGATAATCATGAACTCTTTGTACCACCTAGCCACTGACTTCTTAAACTGAGTTTGAAAATCCATACCTAAAAGTGTTGGACCCTTTGCTGAATGCATCGAGTGGCTTCATTTCCCGAATTGACATATATGTGAAGCGAATCGATACTGTATTTTATTTCAGTTTTTTATTATTGTACCCGCGGAAATTGATCCCACGGCAGGGTTATGGTTTCATCTATACTACTTATATATATGGTTTGTGGACTACATTGATTGATACGTAAAATGCAACATGCTCGATGAAATAACATATGGTGAATAGATAAAGTACACCGATATTTTTTAAATCCTTATTTCAACTTTCTTAATTTAAAAAAAAATTCTACTACAAGTATAAGTTTGAGTTTTTCCGATACCAACATCGCGAATGCAACCCGATTCATATATCGTCTTGATCGATTTTTGGTTTAATTCATTACCACTGAAACACTACTCTCTAAATGTGTACCTTTCATAAAGTGTAAGCATTTACCTAAAAAACAGCATCACTCTAATCATATACGGACAGTAGTTGAACGAGCATCTAGTAGGACGTGGTCAAAAATATTTATTAGCTATTGAAGCCTGAATAACATCATAAATTGGTAGCAGAAATGACGGAGTTACTCGGTACAGACAGGGGATGGCAGTGATTTTTGACAAAACTTCTCATTTTATTGGAACGAGGGTTGATCACTTACCGGAAGACCGATTTCACCGTGTGGCCCAGCGTCACCTTTTAATCCTTTGTAGCCCTGTAACAGTGTTGGGTTTAGAAACAATCAGTAATTTAAATAAGAGCAGTTTAATAACTGAAATACGCTGGATGAAACTCTAAACAGTCTATCATGCCGTTTTGGGCTTTTGAAGCTGAGTGTACCATTTAATACAAGTTATTAAATTGGTCAGATCTCAATTCACCAATAACCTATCAGCCTAAGGAACCCGGAAGGAAGATCAAGTTATTCAATGACTAGTTATTTCAAATCCTAGTAGTTAGCTGTGCCAGAGCTCTCGATCTCTTCGAATTACTGAGACCCATTAGTAATTGAAGAAACTGAGAGAAAAAAGCAAGNCAAGTTCCGATTGGATTTATTTCTTTAGGTTCTGTGTTTTCAATTGACTACACATGTATGCTGATGCTTATCTCCGCTCCAGTTAAATCAATCATGAAATTACTAGAGTACACTTCTGCTTTTTATTTGCTTTACTTTATACGGATATGGTGGATTTCATCCAGTGAAGTGGAAGGCCAGAAAGCAGGGTATAATACATTATGAGTTCAATATACGTATGATGAATATATATAATATATTAACAGCACAGAAATCAATATCACGTTGTATTTTTCAAATCTTTGTATTGTTTTTATCAATAGAATAGACACGCATGACACAAAAGTGACATCAGTTTCCATTATACATATTTTACGGATAGTTCATTTGACCAAAGAGAAAGACAAACTGGACTGGAAGTGTTTTGCTCCGACGGCAGCAAAACCTATGTCCGCAAATAAAAGGAGACAGTCTTGTATGCCTGTGAATCTCAGTACACCAGGTTAGATGCGTGCTAGTCCGGTGATCCCCATGGAGTTTTCCATATTGTCCTGAAGGAATGTGCTGATTCCCTTACTGCTGTATTGTGTGAACCTTTCAACTGTTGTATTTCGTAATAAAAATGCTAATTAGCAGCTTTAATCATTTTGGTAGTAAAGGAGGCCTCTTTAAATTTTAGTCCCACTGCCTGCTCTTCAGTTGCATTTAATATGTTCGAAAGAATTGCTTTAAACTTTATGCACAAAATTTAATGTTAGACTTCCCTAATATTAGGAACAGACCCGTTCTAGAGGTACCCTAGATGGCCTTACCTTTCTTGCTCACTTTTTGAAATCTTTCCTAGATAAGTAGAGCAATGTTGTCTGCATATGTTTTCTGAACTATAGTGATGCCTTCAGTGCGATCGATAAGCACATATTGCTCAATGCTCTTTTCTCAGGCGGCGTTCAACCTCTTACGATTGGACTCCTGGACAATTATGTTTCCAAGTCAGCAGTTTCTTTGCCACCAAGGTGGTACATTTTAGCCTCTGCCCTCCTCACAGGCCTACTGCGTGGCGATATTTTTGCCTGCTCTCTTGTTGTTCCTTTACATTTCCCTATGCATTTGAATAATTCTTCGCTCCTTTTTGACTAAACGGACAATATAATATTGGGGTTGTTCTATCCAACCTCTTCACTTCGGACTATTCTACGCGATGGTATTAGCGAAACTAGGGAGTCGTCTTAAAAAAACCTAAAATGAATAATCAATAATATATCGATGTAATTTTTACCCTTTAGAAAGGTTGCGAGTGCGACGAAATACCAACTAACATCCCTTATTGATTCATTTCAGATGACCAGATAAATAGACAACTATCTGTCATTTAGCTTGGTGTTATCTTCAATCATAACTGCACCTTGTTTGACCACATCACTAACCTGTTTCTGAAGGTCATCTAGTTCACGTTTTATGCATTACATGTGTGATCACTTTTCATTCCTATACACCGCATAGAGCTTTGTGCTTTTTACCTGCGTTTTGCTCCCCGAGATTTATGGGTTCCTAGATCCCTTACACGGCCTATTAAAATAGGACGAAAACCGCAGCTCCTGATTACTCAAGTTGCTCTCGATCTATAGTTATATTGCTCAAAAATATCTGGTATAGTATGTCGTACCACACCACTGAAAACCATTCTCTCAGAAGATTACATCTGGCTGTTCTATTCTCCTTTATTCTGCACTTACTTAGTGCCTTTCTTATTTGTCCATCCGTGCTGGTTATAAACTTATAAAGACACAGAGCTGAGGCTTACAGGCGTTCGATGGTTTCGTTTATCTCCAGACGTCTAACAAATTATGTACTGGTTGAGATGTTCTGCGGAAAATATAAATTTAAACTAATATCACATGCCAGGATATAACATTGATTTTCTGTTCCTTTTATTGCTTATTTGTTTTTAAATTACTTCACTGTTTTTCCGATTGATTGCCTCCTAACGATGAGGAATTTAATGCATATTTCCCCTTGGAGAGGTATAAAACGAGGTTTTGGTCTGACTCGGTCATTGGACTGACTGATCTGTGAAGATACACGACAATTGCTTTAAACACATATTACCATCTATTGCAAGCAGGATGGAAGCAGTGAGGTTCTGGAGGACGGGTGCACGCTGAAGACCACATCTGAATCCGCATGTAATGTATTGAGTGACGCTTGTAAATCCAAGAAAACGGAAAGAGACACCAATGAACCATCAAGGCAGACCTGGAATGATCACCGTACCGATGCGAAATACGTGTGGGTTGGACTCTTGAACCACATGGTAGTTTTTATTTAAAAGTTTGCAGTTGAGCCGCTAGATATTCCCAACGCATGAATATATAGATGTAAAAAATATCCTACGCAATAATGGTCTTTGCGCTGCACAAAGAAGTAACTGATGAGTGAAAAAACTACCACTTTATGTCAGCATATCCTAAGCGTTTTCATTGTAAACCATCTCAGAAGAAAATAGTTTGATATCTCACGATTACAAATGCAGTCATGTTTGAACAACAAATTCTTCCTTCCGTCAATAAAAGAAAACTTCCCTGAGCAACGGAGCTGGTGTTTCACCCGATGTATATTTGTATAACACGGACACATGCATAATAATGAAGAATTATTATTTACATCCCTTGGCGAACAGAACACCTTTCGTCGAAGTCCCATTTAACATACGCGTACTTTTTCACATGTGAAACATGTGCATGGGCGGTTCTGTGAAGGTAAATGGGAACTCCTTTTGTGACCTTGGGCATATTCATTACGTACCAGTCCAAATTCACAAACCGCAGCACTGAACGTGATCTTCAGCGCCTTTCCACTAACTGTCCATTCGCCCACCTCCTCCTCCACCCACACGGTAACTGGCAAGCGATTCGAGGTTTTCTTAACAGTCCTATATGGCCGGTATATCGGCAAAGGCACTTGCCAAACTATTTTTGCTTCACCCAGGTGCACATTTTACCCGCGGAACACATGCTCTGGGCGCCTGTCGACAAAACCGAGGTATCTGTGCACTTTTTGCACAGACGTGAACCGATACACTGCCGTTTTACCGGTTTGTGGTTTCACAACCCCTCCACCAAGTCTGATCAGTGTGTTGGCTTGTACATGTGTGTGTTTGGGGTTGAGGAGCGCGTAGCCAAGTTGCGATAACATCGGAACACCTCATTCATGGTGATACTATTCCAATGTTTCCCACCTCTCTCACAGTGTTCAGCACTGGTCGATGCTTTGTTGGTTCGGTTGACTTTTCTCCCGCTGAGACATAAACCGTCAACACCTTGACCATCATGTTTATCTGTCTCTAGAACGAACAAAAATCTGATCAATTTATCGACCACTAAAAAAAGTGATTGCAGAGTTTGATTAATGTGCACTGTAATTGTTTCGTCCTGAAAATAAACGGTCGTCATATTTTTGTTCAGAAAAAGGTTCAATGGCGCCGTGCATATCGTTTATTGGGAATTTCCATTCTCTTTGCTGTGCCATCAAGGAGCGACCCTATTCAGCAAAAATGACGCAGCTGAACATGTGCAGTGCCCCAGAAGCCGAAACGCTTGAAAAATTTACGAGTATATCCACAGAGCGCAACGATGCGAATTCGAAATACGTTTCGAAAGCATGTTCCCTGTCATTTAGATACAGCTGATCAACTTCAACAGCAGGTGACTGAGTCGGACCTAAAGTGGTATGATGGTCAATTTTGCAATGCTAATGGTATTCACCAGCGTTTAAACTATGAACTGAGAAAAAGTTTCAAAGCAATTTGTAGAATTATTTAATCTACTTCAGTTCCCACTATCATGCGGAGTGTGTAAATGAGAATCACAATGGTTAATGCCAGTGTCCATCTGCGAATCTGTTACCTGTGACAGCAGTTAAAATTCTCCCCATGGTGACAATTTTTACTGTTTTCGTACAAGGCAGTATACAACAGACGGTTAGCCCTCCGGGTTAATCAGATATCAAGCCAGAAGAAAGCGGTTTGGGTCGTTTCTTTTTGTTACTAATTGGTCTAGAGTAAATTTGGAACAATCTGTTTTCTGCTTTTAGCGGTAAAGTTACCATGATAGTTCATAGCAAAGTACCGAAAAAAATAAGAAACAGGCAATCATGCCCTGCCGTCCGCCTACGAGCTGTCCTTTGTCTTTGAGCTATGTCATTAAACGTGTCCTACATCTCATTTGGTCGGTATGAGTATGTGGGTATAACAGTATGCTGATTTACAAACTTTCGGAAGGTGGCGCGCAATTAACTGCCCCGAATATGCTTGTTGCGGATTTCATCCGTCGATCATCATCTTCGTGATGCGCGCAGTGCATGCCAAACAACAATGTCTCACACTTGGGGTTTAGGTGAACAGAAGAAAAAGCTCAGCTTTCCTCTGTTCCGGGAATGAGAAAATCAGTAAACAACAAAGTTTTGTGAATAGAACACAATTTACACCCTCCTTGACTCTCATATCATTTGTTGTATTTCCTTTCGCATTGTGTCACACTTGCCCAGCTGGTTCTCTTGAAGAAACTCAACAAGTCAAATGATGCCTGGCGTGTTTCAACGAGATCATCTCTACGACAAAATGATCATGATTAACTTAAGCATTGAGTCGGATAACCGCATCATTCCCTCAGGCGCAAAACATTTGACATTAGGAGTCCGGCTGGTTGTTGGAGGGTTTTTTGAATCCAGGTGGTACCACCAAGAACACTTGAAAAAGCCCATGTGATGGAAATACACTAGCATAACAATAAAACAATTTCGCAATACCTACATCATTGGTTATTCTTTAGCTGGTAAAATAGATTTTAACGTTATTGTGCAATAATTCCTTTTGGTAAACAACATATAACACATGGATTATAACAAAAAACGATTTTAATTGATTTCGTTCGGTTTTACAAATGAAATCAAAAGAAAGCATTTTGTCTTCAAAATATCGATAATCACGATACGGTAGACCATTCTGGTTGGATAAAATGTGGAATTATATATTTGACTCATAGAAAGAATATGGTAGATAGTGGAAGGTCAATGCTTTTCGACTAATAAAAACTGGTAAATTTATATCCGTATTTCGGGGACAATAAACATCGTACATTTGCATGAAACACATCGCCGTCATTTTTACTTTGCAACGAATAACAATAATTCCAGCCCCTGAAAAGTGCAGAAAGCAGAATGAGAAAACTTACCGTCGGTCCAGGCAAACCGGTGGGACCAACTAAGGAGTCCACGTCCATTGGACAAGGATATCCATCGGGACCACGGGGACCCTGTTCTCCCTGTTCACCTTTTTGTCCTTGGATTGTGATTGCTGGAGCAGGACGACCCTTGATACCTTGCAAACCCCGGACCCCTTTGAAACCCTGAAGGATGTGGAGGAATGAATGAGATCGGTCAACGATCTAAAAACGCCACCAGAGAGAGGTTAGAAAAGAAACCAAAGCTTCATCCGCTTTTTGTCGTCTGCTGCGGGAAACCAGTAGCCCAGCTGTTAAACGTTTCTTTCATTAAATCCACTGTCACCGTTATCATAGAGAATAAAAGATATTTAATTCGATAAAAGCTTGAATTTCGTCGTGTAAAGAGCGAACAAAGTGTTAACTGAACACCTAAGAGACACGGGATAACGGTTTAGACCTGTTCCGGTCTCATCAGTAATGAGCGTATATCAAATCTACTTAAGATCGCCACTGGGATCTCACAGGTAGAACAGAGGGAGTTTTTGAAACCCAATTTGTATAACCAATATAAGTTGATAGAACTGCTGGTGTGATGAAGTAGCGATCAATCAATGGGACTCCATTGCGTACACAAACCATTTGATCATTTGATCATCCATAATTTTTCGGATGTTAGCATAAACGTATAACTCAGCTCCCACCGGTGCGAGCGATGTTGATCAATTAATTCGGGTATACATGACACTTATAATCAAAGAGGTATTGTATACGAATCTGGCCACTAACCTTTTGCCGACCGTCCACAAATAAACTGAATATGCGACTGTCTATTCAAAAAAATATGAAAGAATTGGAATACATTATGTATTTATCATTAGGACCATCTTAGAAGTGATTGTTGTTATACCCTATAGGGAGTGTCTACAGTTTGCGGATAGAAGCACGGCCATTCAGTTGAGAGCCCTTCATCAGCCGTCATCAAAAATTCATAACTTGTGCCGGTATATTTTCAAGCAGGTGTTAATCAACATGAATGGCAAAAAATTGCTAAACATCAAATAAATGACTTACTAACATAAACCGAATTGGTCAGTACAAAAAGCAACATTGGTACAACAAGATGGAAAACTAGTTTTGAACAAACTGAAAACAGAAATCAACCGAAGATGGATGTTAACAAGGACTATTCTATGCGACAAAAGTGCAATACACAACATGTAAGGCAGTGCACTCACTTTTGGACCAGGCAAACCACGAAGACCGGGATCACCTTGAGGGCCAGGTGCACCGGGTAAACCCTTAGAAAAAGGAAAGTCGAAGATCGGTGGTCAGATCAAAATAAAGATTTTTGATACGCGACTGACTTTAATAAAAAGCAGTTGTATCACGATTATAGATCTTATTTCTTCTTCCTCTGGACATTTTGAATGAGGGTTTGGGTTTGTTAAAGCTGATCAAATTTAGCAGCCTAATTCAAAAATTTCTCATTCAATTAAGATGAGAAATTAATGAAAATTATTTTGCTGAATTCAACAAATTAATTATCAAAGTCCTCTTATCAATTACACCAATTGTTTCGCGCCTTACGCTTGAGTTCAATTTCTTTGTCAACAGAACGTTTTTCCAAATTATAATGAGCTAATGAAATTCCCAGCTGGTTGATCATTTCAGAATCTTGTAACATTGGCTCGGCTGTTGTTTTTAATCCAATGCTTTGGATTCCCAGTGGATATGCCCAAATTCAACAGAATGACAATGAATATGATCCTATTCAAATCAAAATGACTCTCTTTGGTTTTACTGTCCAAAATTTCTCGTTTATGAAAAATCATTTTATGTCGATGGTGAAATATTTTCCACCGTGCTTCATTCTAGTCCCGTTTAAATTTGCAGATATGCTTATTTATTATCAGTTTTAAGTATGGCTGATGAACGTTCAATTTCCAGAACATATGATGTTATCTGTTGATTGAATCACAGACTTGTCAAGATATCATCAAGAATTTGAGTACCAACCGTGTTCTACCGATATTTGTGCAAGAATGCGCTCCCCGGAGTTTCAACACCGGTTCCTTTAAATCGATATTTCAGCTTTGGATCGACCTATTATATATTTCGAGGAACATCATTTACAGTCAAATTTCAAAACATGCTGGTTTATCCTTCACCTACAGGTCATTGAATATTTAATGTTATCTTTTGTTTTCTTGTGCCTGTACATTCCGGATAGAGATACAGTGATCACTTCGAACGGATTTTATTTTGAACCGCATGGTGTTTTCTTACAGCATTTTAGGTTCAATTACTGAAAGTGATTTGTTACCAGAGAAGCTCAATTTATCTTTTTGATTCTTACCTCAAGCAAAATAATGTTTAATTGGAATTAAACTGGTTCACCATAGATACCGCCATATTTGTTTTTCTAGTAACATACACATAAGTGAGTGAACCGCTCAGTCGGTTGCCATCTCTAAAATGAATGAACGGGTGAAATCTGGTGCTTTGCCTCAATTCTGCCTTTCGCTTTGCAAATTTCACACCTCTGGTACCGAAATCACTTCAAATTACTCTAATTGATTCCTGATCTACATTGAAACTGGGACTGGTCAGAGTGCACTAATAGTTAACCTTGCATCACGTGCCTCGCACTTGTTCAACGAGTCCCAAATTAATCTCTCCAAACGGACAGCAAATGTTTGTGAATGGTATTCAGTTTGATTTTATTTCTGTTTCACTTCTTTGAAGTATTCCTGTGGTTTAGTGCACATGACTCCCTTTTGTGGGGCTACACAGCATGTCGTGAGACCCGGGGTGCTGTTCATTTAGATATGGAATCCAGGAAAAAAATTCGGGCACAATTGATAATATTTCACATAGAGAACATATGTCACCTTTCTAGCTCATTGACAAAATCGCTATTTAAATAATCATAGCAATTCATTCGTTGAGCCTTCCGTATGGAGAAGAATTCCATTATCACTACAGGATGGACATACAAAAAACAGCTTGAATGTGACTTGTTTCTTTACTCAAATGGCAGTGCTTATCATTTCTGCCCTAAATGTTGCACCTTTTAAATTTAATTTAGAAAGGTGTTTATCCACTACGATGATTTGATGCGCACACGTCGATATTACGGTGGTGATCGTGTAACGAGTACGCACGCACCGCGGTACAGTGTCCAGGTAACCAATCAAGAAGCGGGATAACCGACCAACCCTGTGGTCTCAATTGGCATCATCCGGATTGGCTGAGTGCAAGAAGGCAAACAGATAAACCATATCCTTGTCGATTGGACATTCAAGAATCGACCAATGATTGTTTGTTGCTTGTAATATATATTTCCATGATTTTCTGAATAGAATTAACTGTATCCACAGCCCGTCTTGCTTCTGCCTGACTTTGCGCTATTCAGTGGGTTTTCAGTCCGATACCGAGTTCGCTCTATTCGATTTCGATTCCTATTCCGAATACTACAATTGGCGTCGCGGCATGGAGTTGCGCACTATCGAATCCCTGAATCTACATTCACATCCGTCTGAGGTTGAAGAATAGGTCGAACGTTTCGAGCTCTGGTGCAGCCTACGGCAGAACGGAAAACAGGATCAATCCGT